CTGCGTTCGGTGCGGGAGGGGAACCACGCGCGCCCCGCGCGACAGCAGGGTGTAGGAAGAGGAGGCGGAGGACAAGGATGATGATGATGATGATGATGATGATGATGATGATGAGGAGGAGGAGGAGGAGGAGGAGGAGGAGGAGGAGGAGGAGGAAGAGGAGGAGGAGGAGGAGGAGGATAGGCAGGAGGAGTAGGAGGAGGACGACGAGGAGAAGGTGGAGGAGGAGGAAGAGGAGGACGAGGAGGAGGAGGAGGACAGGGAGGAAGAGGGGGAGGAGGAGGAGTAGGAGGAGGAGGAGGAGTAGGAGGAGGAGCAGGAGGGGAAGGAGGAGGAGGAGGAGGAGGGGGACCACTGCAAACCAAAGAGTCATCAACGATGTTGGAATAAACCCTCCCTCAAAGCTCCCTCTTCATAGGCCCCTACCACTGTGCATTTCCAGTGAGGGAACTGCCTCGTTGGAAGACAACCGATTGACTACCCTGAAACATGTCAAAACATTGTGCTCGGGATTCCAACGCCACGGATCAACCTGTCTGTTGCGCCTTGACGATCCTGAATCGTGCCAAAACGCCATTCCTGGGACTTCAGCACCGCGAGCCAACGTGATTGTTGCACCCTCATAATCCCGAACCCTTCCAAGACACTATTCCTGGTACGCTGGTCACGGGAATCCGTGAAGCTCTTGCAAATTGTTCTACCGAGTGCCCGCGGCGCTAATGCGAGAACCACAGTTTGAAAAAGGACCGCCCTCACCCCGTGAAACTTTTGCATGTTTTATGATGCAGCGAATATGCGCGGCGTTAAAGCGAGAACCACATTTTGAGAACGTCCCGCCCTCAATCCGTGCAGCTCTTGGACATTTGTCAAACGAATGCGCGCGGCGCTAAGGCGAGAACCACGGCCCTCAACCAGTAAAACTCTCGCAACTGATTCGAATGAATGTGCGCGGCGCTAAGGCGAGAACCACGTCTTGAAAGCGACCCGCCCGCCATCTGTGACCATGTTCTGTAGTCAATGTTTGAACTTCTGGGCCATCAATGGTGAGGAAGTCTCAGGCGAAACGCCAAGCCCGCCCTAAAAACTGGTCTCGGGGTGCGACGGGGAGGAATTAGTTGTAAGTAAAACGACTGGGGGAGGAGGAAGAGGAGGTGGAGGAGGAGGAGGGCAAGGAGGAGGAGGAGGATGAGGAGGAGGACAGGGAGGAGGACAGAGGAGAAGGAGGAAAAAAACGACAGGGAGGAGGAGGAGGACGACGAGGACGACGAGGACGAGGAGGAGGAGGACGAGGAAGAGGAGGACGAAGAGGAGAAAAACAAGGAGGAAGACGAGGCTGATGGGTGATGAATGAGAAATGCGGACTTTGTGGCGTCGACACATTCTGCCGCGATGCGCTAGCAAAGCTGGGGAGGCTAGCGACATGAAAATCATGAACTGGTGTTGCACAAACCGATCCGGCGAATCAGGACAAAGCGCCGCATGTCACCACGGCGGAACTGCGCCACAGCGTGAGACGGAGGATAGCATGGTGGCCGCCAAGCAGCAGAGCCCTCGCAGCGAAACGACGAGAAAACGAGACAGAGTAATGCAACGAGCCCCGCGATGCACGGCCTGAGGCCTAAACTGTACTGGTCACGTAAAGAGTCAGAGGAAGAGGAGGGGGAGGAGGAGGAGGAGGAGGAGGAGAAGGAGGAGGAAGGAGCGGAGGAAGCGGATAGTAGAACATGGGACGCAAGAGGAGATGTAATGTCAAGCGGGATGATATCGCTAGACGAAAGGAAGAGTGGAGGTGAACGCGTATTAAAGCGGGCGCGCTAGAATGCATTCCTGGGCGCAAGCGGCGGCGGATCCAAAGTGGCAGGCGCAAGCGAGGCAAAGGGTGAAAGAGGCAGGATGGATACCATTCGAGTCTGGTGCTCAAACATGTCCGTCGTGCCCTCGTGTCTCCCATGCGCAAGCCACACAAGAAACCTCGGCGTGAAATTCTGCGGGGGTGCACTACTGACGCGCCCCTAACGCACGCCCACGACAGGGAAGGCTCTGCTGACCGCCCCCTTCAGAAACAGTTGCCCGTTGCAAGCGAGACCTTACTAATGGAATGCAGACAGGCGCGCGCGGCTGTTCAACTGACGCACTCAGCTGAAGCAGCATCCTCTCGCGTGCTCGACTTCCTCATTATTATCGCTGCCAGTGCCCGCAACTTGACGATGCGGAAGTCGACCTTGTAACGCAGTCACAAAAGCCGCCTCTGCACTGTTGGGTAAGCGAGCAGTGCTGGGAGCTCGGGGAGACATTCTTCCGTTTTTCGTCGCTGAGCTTGACCGCATCATGGTCGCAGCTGACCTGGCCGACCATCGCGCAGAAGATGAGCTCCCGGCCCATGCTGTCCTCTGTGATGTAGTCGGCCCGCGTGCCCCGAGCATCGCACCAGAGGAGGTATCCGATGAGCTCGGTGCGCACCTGGCCAGCTAATCACCGCAATTGGCCCGCCATGCTGTACCCGGGGGGCGGCCGCGCTGGGTCCATGAGCAGGTCGCTGAAGACGGACACGCCGTCGATGGAGACACCTGCAGGGGTCGCGCATCCCCCTTCCTCCCTCACCCCCCCGGTCTCCTCGGCAGAGGCGGGGCCGTGCGCCGTTTCGCGCAGCGCGGGCGGCGCGCCTGCAGCCCGTCGGCTGCGCCGCGCGCTGCGAGCAGCTCCGGGCGAGGATCTGTGCGCCAGCTTGTGCGATCGGCTCACTGCGCCCATCGAGTGACGCGCCTGATTGCCCGTGCGGTGGTGGCACTTGCCGAGACGCATGCAGGCGGCCCCTCTCGCGCCGTGCCCAGTCTCCTTCTCCCTCTTGAATGACTCGTCGCTGCGCGCGCTGAGTCGCCCGGCGCAGTCCGCAGCTGGAAGTCCGATGCGCGCCCGGATCTTCTGCGCGGCCAGAACGACGGAGTTGAGCTCCATCGCGCGTCGGATAAGCAGCTTGTTCTCGGCTCTCGGCAGTGCGACGATGCACGCGGTGACGCGGTGCTGGGCGAGCAGCGCGTGGGCCACTGCTCCCAGGAGGGGGGCGAAGGGATCTGGAAGCGGACATCCGGCCGCCTCCTCAGCCTTGGCCTTGACCAAGTCGACGTGCCTGATCGGTACCAGGGCGTCGATGCACTCGCCCTGGTCGAGAGTCGCTGTGCCGTCGGCACTGCGGTGCTGGCGCGCTCCGCAGGCGATGAAGTCGCCGTAGTCACGCCCTCCATCTTGCCGAAGACGCTCTCGACAAGGCCAATGAGCCCGCCGACGCGCTCCTTGCGCCCAGCGATCTTCAGATCGGCAACGCGCCCGGGCAACGAGAGCACTAGTTCTGAGCCGCTGGCGGCGCAGGCGCCAGGCGCCTCATGCTTGACCTCGATATCCGCGCCCCGCCTGGCGGGTCTGGCACTGCGCTGCGGTGGGCGCGCGACCCAGGCGAGCTTAGCGGAGATGGCTCGGGGCGCATCCTTGCAGCCCGTGCCCGGCATGATGCAGCGGAGGCGCTCGGCGCGCTCGTCGAAGCTCTCGCAGCCGGGCGCCTGCCCGAGGATGGCTGCGCCCCCTCCGGGCGGCAGGCGGCAGGGTGAAGCTCGCCTCGCGCGGTACTTCGCCTTGTTCCTGAATCTCGGCGCATTTCGTGCCTCGCAGGAACGTCTCGCCGACGTCCACGGCGACGCGCGCCCGGTCTGGGCGGCGCGCCGCCTCTGAAGACAGCGCGCGCTGTGTCGCCCGCTTCGCTGTCCCAGCGAACGTCCCCAAGTCTCTGGCGCCCGCGCCGCGGGCGCTCCTCAACGCCGCGGCGATCGATGATCCTGACTGTCCTGCCACTGATCCTTCCTGATGCTTCCACTTGCAGACATGCGCGGGGCCCGTTGCGTCTCGGGCGCCCTTGAACGGTCGCCCCCCGAAGCGCCTGCGCTTGGCCCAGACGGCGAGCTCTTCGAGCATGGCCGCTGCGACCTCCTCCGACAGCATGACAGCCTCGATGCCCCCTCGTTGGACAGAGCGTCGGCGTCGCGCGCAATGATGGCGATTCAGCGGCGGCCTAGATGTTAAGCGCGGCTGTCTGGAGAGCGCCAACGACACAGTCGCCAGATTTGCCTCGAAGATCAAGAATGCTTCGCGCGCGCCTGCATCAATCTGCAACCCCACACGCCTTCTTCATTCATTCCTTCGCCCTCCTCCGCTAGCGCGGCGCAGTCGTTCGAGGAGGCCCCGCGCGGGCAGTGGTGGCGCTGAGCGTGGATGCACTGGCGCTGGTTCTGCGTCTTGAAGCGCTGGGGCCATGCGCGGTGGGGCCCGCGGCCAAGGTCGGCAGCGGGCGTGCTACAGCAGCGTAGATTTTCTGTTGGCTGCCGGCGCTCTCCAGCTCCTCCAGCTCCTCCAGCTCCTCCAGCTCTTGCGCCAGGTCTTCTGCTCCTTCGACTCCACGACAAGATGCGCGCGTCGCTGTTGGTCTCCTCGGGAATGGCCGACACGGCGGATGGTGAACCTGCCTCGGCGGCGCTGGCGGCGTCCTCGGGAACTTCGACAACGCGGTCATCGAAAGATCCGCCCGGGCCCTGTCCAGCGTCTGCAACTAGTACCGGCTGGTCGCCCCTGCTCGCCGATCGGCTTATAGATGTCGGACTTGACGCCGTTGAGGTGGATCTGCTAGACGTCGCTCGGGTTCCGAAGGGGGCCGCCAGATGGCCATGCTGCGGGTGCAACCCAGCTGGTCGCCCACAGATTTCTGGCCGCGTATCAGGCGCACGGCGCGAAAATCTGGCAGCAGAAAGCATCTGCCCTGCGTCCTGTTACGTCGTCAATGGTCTCGTCTTCCTACTACGTCATCGTTGTCGTCATCCTCATCGCTTTTTTCCTCGCCCCCCCCCTTCATGCCCCTGCCCTTTCTGCAGTAGGCATGCTATATAATAGCCAACCTGACAGCAGGTGCCCCGCGGAAATTTCCCATCACTTGATGGCCCTGGGGACCTACGGAAGCC